TGGGGGGCCCGGGAGCGCTGGGAGAGGGGTCTGGGGGGGCTGGGGGCCCGGGAGCGCTGGAGGAAGGAAGAGAGATGGGCCTGGGAGGACTCTGTATGGGGTAACAGTGAGGGAGGACTGGGAACAAGAGTGGGATGGGACTCAGAGAACTGGAGAAGGGGGACTGGGAGGATTGGGGATGGGGGCAACCTGGGAATGGGGCTCCTGGGCCTGGGGGAGGGGGGTTACAGGCCCTGGGAGCTTCGGGGCTAGGGTTGTGGTCCCATGAGTGGGCCTGGTGGTGTTGGGACCTGGGGGGGTTTCACGTGAAATCCTGCCTGGCGGGTGGGACGTGAAGGGACGCGACAGCACCCCACGGCCACCCTCCCCGTGCGCCTGCTGTCCAGCTCCGTCCCGTCCCGTCTCGTGCTGCCTGCGGTCAAACTCCAGCTCCTGACTCCAAACTCCACCCTGCCCCACCGCCTGCAGCGCATCCAGAAACACGCGTTTTGGGGGGCAGAATGGCCTGAGCAGACATAGTTCTTGTGGCTTGGTTTTCCTTCCCCTGAACCCTTTGTGTGGCCTGTAGGGAGTCACCTTCCCTTCAAAGCCTCATTAATTATTTACTAATCACTCTGAGGGTCTAAGCAGCAGCGCTGGCTCAGGACACCAGTGTGTGATGGTGCTGAGCCCACTCTGGGAAGCGGCCTGGGACTGGGCTGCTACGCCCGGGCTGACTTTTGTCCAAGGCAGTGGTCTTTTCCCTGGATGACAGAGGCTTTGGCCTGATCAGATGAGACCAAGAACGAGCTCAGCTCATCTTAACTCTTAATGGTGTCTAGTCCAGCTGGATCGGCGTTTTTACCATCCTCAGTGGGAGGCAAGAAAGTGCCGTCAGCCCTGAAATAGGGACGGGGAAGTGGGGACTAGCGGGATGAAGAGGGGGTGGTGAGAGAATGCTTCATAGAGGGATACAAAGGCAGGAGTGAGTGGAGAAGTAAAATTACGAGAGATCCTGCAGCCCTTCCAGGCAGCAGGCAGCTAGGAAGGAGATTGCTTTGGTACACTGACGGGGAGGCGAGAAGCAGCAGTAGCTCCCAGAGAGGAGGATCGGGAGCAGATGGGCTGGACCAGCGCTGGGAAAGCTTTGTGTGTCATTCCTCCCAACTGCTCCTTGCTCACGTGTCTGAGCTGGCAGCTCCTTCCAGCTCCCTGCTGCTGCAGTCAGGGGAGCACAGTGTAAACCTGATGGCTGCCGGGCTCCGACAGCCCCGGCTCACGGAGCGGAGCAGCCGCGCTCAGCTCGCAGCGATCAGCTTGGCCGTGTCCCAGCCCCCCTGAGCGTGGGCAGGGCCAGGGAGTTTTGCTGGGCTCGAGCTGAGAGCTGCATGCATGGCAGAGGGTTACGCTCCTGCTCGGGGATAGGGTCGCTGCTGCCATTAAAGTAAAAACTCCCTCCCTCTTTAGGAAACGGGAAAGATGACGACAGAACGGGGTTATTGGAATAACCTGACGACCCTGCAGAAAGTCGCTCTGGTCCTCGGGATCCCGGCCAGCGCAACTGTCCTTTACATCTTGTACCGCAGGTACCGGGAGAACCGAGGTAGGCGTCACAGTGTAGCCTCTGTGTGTCCTGAGACTGTGCTATTCCTCACCTCTCCCATACCCTGGCCTCCCCCAATCAATCACAGATGCTCAGAAACACCCCTCGAATTTTTAGAGCTGAGACAAAGCGTCCTGCCCCGTGGGAACTGTCCCTGGGGACAGGAAGGTTGTTGGAGCAGTGTTGCCCGCTTTGCGTTTTGCTCGCACTATTTATAACATCCCTGGGGTTTCTCCCTCCCCAGTAAGGAGCGGTGATGTGTGAGTCTCTGAAGTGTGCTGCTCCTCCCCGCACGTCTGTGCCCGTGCTCTGTCTGCTGCAGTGGTGGGCGGTGCGGGGAAGGGGCTGAGGGGGCTCGGCCGCGCCAGGTTCTCTGTGGTGACTCTGCCCGCTTTGTGCTCAGAAGAGCGGCTGACCTTCTTGGGCGAGGAGGACCTGGAAATTGAGATGAAAGTTCCCCGGGCGGCTGTGAAATCTATTATCGGACGGAAGGGAGCCACCATCAAACAGGCAAGTGCTGCCTGCCTGAAAAGGCCACCTCATTCTGGGGGGTTGTTTTTGTTCCCTCTGCCCCCTGCATGGGGAAGTGGGGCTCTGAACAGCTCTGAAAACACTACTGCAAACGGTCTTCCAAGGGAAAAGGCCAAATCACGCCCATGGGTCGTTTATTGGGAGCCCAAATCGCAGCCAGGGCCTGGTCCGCCAAGTGCCGTGTGGCTGAGAATGTGCCCTGTGTCCGCAGCTGAGGAGGGAGACAGGGGCTCACATCGACATGGAGGCTGAGGACAGCAGCGAGGAGCAGGTGCTGGTGATCTCGGGCTCCCCCGACCAAGTGTGCAAGGCGAAAGCTGCCATCCACCAGATTGTGGCAGAGAACGCACCGGTGCTGGAGCAGTTCCACGTGCCCCAAAGAGCCATCGGCAGGATTATCGGTACCTCCTCAGCCACTCTCTCTCTCCAATTGCCTGTGTGATCCCAGGCACTTTTGTTCCAGTCACTTAGTTTGTAGCTTGCTGCAGACCACAGGCTGCAGGTGTGTTAGGCTGCAGGTGTGTTAGTACAGCACTTACCCCCCTCCTAGGAGGCAGGAGGTGGTTGGAGGTGTCGTGACATTACCTGTTGTGTGTCCATGGGTGCATAGAGCTACATCGTTACTGATCTGCACCCAAAAAGCTTGCTGATTGCTGGCCTCTAGGTGCTGAACAGCTTGAACTCATCAGGGTGGAAGAGCTGCTTCACTTTGAGCAGGAGTAGGCCTCTGCTCAGCAGGGAAGTGTGCACTGCCTATGTCTAACTGTGCCTCAGTTTCCCCAGGGGGCAGGAGGGACAGTCAGGCTCTGTGACAGTGGGAGGTAATGGAGGTTGCAGGATGTGCTGGTGTGTTGATGTGAGGAGCAGAGACACAAGGGAAGCTGCACCCTGTCACGTTTGGCTCTTACCCTGTTTCCATCCCAACTCTGGGTTGGACCCTGCGCCTGGGGCTTCGAGGACCACGCCACCTCCAGGACACGAGTATGAGCTGGCCCTTGTAAACCCTAGGCTGGGCCATTGGGAAGGTGTGTGGTCCATCCAGAGCAAGAAACAGCTTCTCAGAGGGCTGAAGCTGTGCCGTTTGTGTCCCCATCGCGGGAAGATCCTCTCCCCATCCCCACCTGCCACGTGGCTGTGTCTCTCCAGGCCGGGGCGGTGAGACGGTGCGGGCAATCTGCCGCAGCTCAGGGGCCAAGGTGATCTGTGAGCGCGAGGCCGATGCCAGCCTAGCTCTGACCCGACTCATCCAGCTCTCGGGGACCCGGAAGGAGGTGGCCGCTGCCAAGGTGAGTGGTGAGCAGTGGGCTGTGGCCTGCTGAGCTCTGCTGCAGGACAGACTCTGAACCAAACTCTCTCCTCTCCTCAAAGAAACTCATCATGGAGAAACTGATGGAAGATGACACGTTTCGGAGGGAGCTGGCCCAGTCGACAGCGATGCGGTGCCAGCGCAAGCAGCCCCTGGGCACAAGGAGGGAGCAGGTGGCAGAGCCCGAGGCAGTGCCACTCCCCAATGGGGCTCTCACCCACCGGCCAGCTGCTCCTGAGCATGGAGAAGGGGACGGAGGCTTATTCTGGGATGGAGGCTCGCTCCTGGATGAGGCTGCTTTTGAGGACGGCCGGGAGATGAGGGCTGAGCGCGAGTCCCTGGAAGAGCTGGCTGTGAGGCCCGATACGGCCGTGCCGAAATTTGAGGGTAAGAAAAGTGTTTTCCTCATCTCCTGCGTGTGAAAGAACATGTGGTAGAGGGGTGTATTTGCAAAGGTCCCTTAGGGACTAGCAAAGTGTTGGGACCCACTTTAAGGGTCTGCGGTCATCCTGTATTGACTTGTGGCTTTGTCACTTGTTCCCTCCTTCCCTAGTCAGCATGTTGATGTGTCTGGAGCTACAAGCATCCTTCAAAGGACCCTGGGCCCAGCGGACAGGGCAGCACAGCTCAGCTGCATCCCGGGCTGTTGTAGGAGTCAGCAGCCAAGTTGTTTGTAGTCTGGATGGTCTCGAACGTGCTCTTAGGAGCAGGAGCCGTGTGCTGCAGTAGGCCAGCTTTCTGCTCTCGGCTTGTCTCGAGTTTTCCCCATCTCTGAAAGAGACCTATGTGTCCTCTTCCCCGCCTGGCCTTCCTCAGGTAAAGGTTTGGGCTGGCCTGCTCTCACCAGGACTCTCTGTGCCTCTCTCGTAGTTCCCAGCCCTGATTTCAGCTTCCACGCAGACGAGCACCTGGAGGTTTATGTCTCAGCTGCGGAAAACCCCAACCACTTTTGGATCCAGATCATTGGCAACCGCAGCCTGCAGCTGGATAAGCTGACCTGCGAGATGTCGCAGTACTACGCGAGCAGCGGCCGCACGGTGAGACCTGAACAGATGGCACTGTCCCTCTCCTCCATGGCTCAGACCCTGTGTTGCTTCCCTCATCCCTTTTCTCAGGCCATGACTGCATCTCTCCTGCCCTGTACCTCCAGGCAGAGCTCTCGACTGTCCAAGCAGGGGCGGCCCCCTACCCGGATAGCAGTGCCTGGTACCGGGCCCGTGTTCTCGGCCCTCTGGAGAACGGCAACTTTGATCTTTACTACGTGGATTTTGGGGATAATGGGGAGGCCCCCCAAGAGGCGCTGCGAGCTCTGCGGTGAGTGTTGCACGTCAGCTGGGGAACGGCGGGCATTAAGAGCCAGGGTGACAGAGCCATGGTTTAACATCCCCAGGGAGGTTTGCAGTTTGGCTTGTGTGAGAGCAGTGTTGCTCGTGGCTGTGTTGCTGGAGGAATTAGTCAAGAGAATTCAGTGTTTATGAGGTGGCTGCGGTGTGAAGGGCAGCAGAGATCCCTGTGAAGCCGGGAGAATGACCAAGGTGGGCTGAGTGGGTCCTCCTCACTGTGGCAAGCATGGAGTGATCATGCCTTTTTCTCCCTTCCAGGAGTGACTTCCTGAGCCTGCCTTTCCAGGCCATCGAGTGCAGTCTGGCTGGGATCATGCCTGCTGGTGAGTTGGGAGGAAACCTTGGGAAGCTTGGAGGGAGAGGCAAGGCGGAAAGGAAAGGGCTGAATTTGTCCATGTCCCTTCCCCCTTATTACAACCAGGATTGCTTGCTTCTGTACAACCCTGACCCTCTGCCTCCTCTCCCGCAGGGGACGAGTGGGAAGAGGCAGCCCTGGATGAGTTTGACCGGCTCACCTACTGCGCCAACTGGAAGCCTCTGGTGGCAAAAATTTCCAGCTACATCCAGGCTGGGCTCTGCACCTGGCCGCACGTCACCCTGTACGACGTCCACCACGGGAAGGTAAGCCCCATGCGGCCCCAGTCTCAGCAGGGATGCTAGCGGGGCCTCGGCAGCACATCTCCACCACTGCTCCCTTGCTGCCAGGCCCGCTTGGCAGCTGTCCCCCCTTTTTGGGGAGCCATATTCAATCTAACTATCTTTCATGCCT